CTTCTATAGAAGAGGTTCCACAAATCTATAGTGCCATTTAGAACTGGTTCCAGCTCCCTCCCCTCGCCCGTCTGTACATCATCAAGATGAAGAACGAGAGGAGGAATTCTGAGCCTCACATTGGGAACCACTGTTCTAAAGGAATTTCATATAGAATGGATCAATATTGTGGGGATTCAAAATTGGTTACATTTTTATATATCTATTTGAAAGTCTGCTTTTGTTTATTTTTCATTTAGTATCTGAAAATATTCAAAATAAAACTTTTTTTAGTTTATTGATTATATATAAATATATTTGTATATAAGGCATTTCATTTGAAGCGTAGGGATGTTCACAATTCCTAAAAGCTGATAGTTTTTTAAAAAGAATTTGCAAAACTTTGGTCATCATTGTACAAAACTGTACAATAGCCAGGCTGTACAAACTACATAACTCCCACTTGTTGCTAAAGGGCAAACATAATTTGTCAAAATGTAGGAAGTCATGAGTAACTGAGTAACTATTCTTTGCTTAAAAAAATGAAAGGGCTGAAATGGCATTTGCTATTTCATTCTTTGAAATATATTCACATAGTCAAGCCATTTTGCTGTTTAAATCTTGCCATTATAAATAGTGATGAATATCTTAATTTTAATTTCTATTTTTAACATAACAAGATTGTCAACAATTCTTCCTGTATCACAAAAGTATATCAAAATGTGAAGTTATGTCTGAATTTTAAAATAACAATGTGTTTATGCATACTGTTCAGTGCCCAGTGGGTGGGAGTGGGTGGTTTACAATAATAAGGTCAAACAGAATAAACCAAAGAATTAATAATTATATTATTTAAGAAATAACTGAAGCACATAACTTTGCAAGGTGGATATAAATTGTAATGTAAGTATTTGGGAAGGTAATGGTGATTTGTAAGCCTGAGAAGCAGCTTCTCATTCACTGCCATTTCTTCTATGGTATAGAATTTCTTACAATTTGTCTTCCTGAGCAATTGCTATCAATTTCACCAAATTACTGGTGCTGTAATATAACACATAAATCAAAGTAAAAATCAGTAATTCTTTAAAAAAAGAATTGGGTGGGTTTTTTTCCTAGTTCTATATTTGGCTGTGATGTGGTAATTAAGGTGTTGGCCTAGAAACAGAGAGGCTCATGTTCCAATTCATTCTCAGAGATCTAATTTACCTCAGGTTTATTATGAGAAAAATATAAGTAGGTAATACGAGCGATCCTTTGCAAGGCAGAGCTGAGGATTACGTCCAATTCCTCGCNAATCGGGGCGAGGATTGAACCGGCTCCGCCCGGGAACCAATCAGAAGGGAGTTCTTTATTCCCGCGCTAGTATTCAACAATACCATCAATGTGAGTAATCAATCATCTGTAGAGAACAAGGAGGCTTTTATATTTCTGATATGTGCTACAAAAATGAGTTTCTGATTTTAGATGGCTATGCAGTTTGTTACCTCTGTTTATATGGATTTCAATTTCCAAGCAAAAAATATAAATCAAAAGCTCATGTTTCTGTAAAGCACCAAAGGGAAAGCTATTTAGGCAAAAAAAAACACCACATTCAAACAAGTGATCTTTACTTTCCACACCAGCAAACATGATTTCCTTTCTTTTAAATTAGATGCCCATTGATTATTACAGTCCAAATAGTTGGAATGTAATAAATAGTTGGACTCCATAGTTGGACTTCATTTATTTTACACACAGTTTGCCCAAACCAAACTCATGCAGTCTATTTTTCAAATTCCCTTGAGAATATTCTTCAATTCCCATTCTTCACTTACTTGATGAGACCAAAAATGCAGTTGTAGAAGAATGGTTAAGGAGAATTTAACAGGAAGAATAAGCCCTTTAGTCAAGCAGCACCTGAGTCAGGCAAGTAGCCTGGCAAATACCAGTTCATTGCCTCCCATTGTTGACTCTTGCAACTGTTGTGCTCTCCTTGAGCTTTGGGGACTATGCATCTTAACCTTGAAACATCCAATGGCTATTTTGCCTTGCTTGTTTCAACATTGCCTTGTCTTCTTCATTTACACCATTGTTGGTTGCTGCCCAGGAATTTATTCCTGATCCAGATATGAAATAGAATAGTTGTCACTGGTTCCAGTCTTTAAAAGCCTAGAATGCTGAGTTTTGGTTTTTACCTTGAATTAAAATCATGATTTGAATTAGGATTTGAGAGCTCAACTTCAGTGTCAAGATTAGGGTTAATGTCAGGGTTCCAAATATCACCCCCAACAAAAGAAAACTCTGAGACTTGAGTTTCCTCTAAGTTCCATTTTATTAGAGATGTCATATTGGCACATCTGGGAAAACCAAAATTTGAAAGCTTTCAGGTTTTCCGACCCAGTTGAAAGTTCAAGAGCCTGCCCAGACCCACATGTCCATCACAAGGCCCAAATGGGAGATGTTTCTCAAGCACACCCATCCAGGTGCAGGGCAAGTGCAGGGCAAATTGACCTTAGCTTCCTGAGAAAGCAATTTTATTTTGACTTTATAGTACCCATACTCCATACAATTCTCCCTCCCATTTTCCCACAGTAGAAAATGTGGCAGGCTTGAAAGGCCAATGTAAAAGCTGGCTTCCAGACCTAGCATTCAAGTTCATTTACACAATCTACAAAAACTCTCAGAATACTAATTATTTTTTTAAAAATCAACCATTTCCAAAATGGCTTTCAATTTTTTTAAAAAAAACTATTTTCAAGAAAAAATATACATGATCAATAAATAGAAGAAGAGAGTGCAACTTTGCTGTTAATATTACTAGAGTTTAGAAAGAATTGCTAATTTATTATTTAATTATAAAATGTATTGACATTATTATGCATTACAATCTTTTTTATTTGTCTGCATAACTAAAAACCACTCTGTGATGTAATCATTCCTTATTCTTGCAGGATGTGATGGCATACTTCATAAAGAAAATGGTACCATAACTTTTCGCTATTGGCCAGAAATCTTTCCTAGTTCCACCAGGTGCTCAAGGGCAGTAATTACCCATGAGAGCAAACATTGTGAAATAATCTTTGATCAGATTCCAGATAACAATTTCCAGATTCCAGGTAACAATGGATACTGCCAGAATAGTTTTGTAAAGAATAAATGGTTCCTTAATCTATCACTGACTAATTCAATTTCAGAAGTTTTGAGGTTACAGTTCTTAAAATTTGCAGTCAGGAGTGGGTTCCTGCCAGTTCTAACCTCTTCTATAGAAGAGGTTCCACAAATCTATAGTGCCATTTAGAACTGGTTCCAGCTCCCTCCCCTCGCCCGTCTGTACATCATCAAGATGAAGAACGAGAGGAGGAATTCTGAGCCTCACATTGGGAACCACTGTTCTAAAGGA